CTTATTCGTCCCCTCTATCCAACTGCTGAGTTTCTTTAGAGGATTTTCTTTGGTTTTGGTTATTTTTTATAATTTTGTGTAGCCGCATACCCAAACACAGAATATACCCACAATAAACTATTTCTATGCAATAAACTGTGTTTCACTGAGTGACACTCACTACACAGAAGTTCTATGACAGAACATAAGCTCACTACAAATAAGGTAACTGCAAAGAAAGTTACTGTTACAGTCTGTGACCATAAGAAAAAATCTATACCGTTGAGTTGCACGCCCTGGATAAAATATTGGCGCAAAATTTAAAAAGAACACATAAAAATAAAATAATTAAAAATACTTAAAAATAGGTAACAAATAGGTGAAAATAAACTGACAAATTAAAAAATATGTAACAAAAGTATAAAAAGGTAGTTTAAAGCGAAAACCTCCAAAAAAGGTAAAAAAAGGTGAAAACAAGTTAAAAAAATAGGTAAAAAAGTATAAAAAAGGTACCGTCAAACAGGGCTAAGTGGATCTGCTGGGGTAAAGTGGATGACAACTTCCTGACGTAATATTAAAATGCGCAGTCGCGAACCTGTAACGTGATTGCGAATTTTGCCGGCGCAAGTCAGTCTAATACACAATGGTGGTTGGGCTTATATGCGTTAATTTTCATAAACAAAGATAAGTTTGCTTAAAACAATATATGTTCTAAAATTCAGAAATGTACATTTATCGAAATGTCAAAATTCGTTTATTTGCACAGGCAATATGTTAATATTTATGTGTATTTGACAATTGCATATCAATAACTTAACTTTTGACTTAAAATAATAAACAGTCAAGACCTTTGTGTCTTAAAGGGGAGTCCGTGTGGGATTTTTTTAATCCACTGATGTCACCTCTTGGGGCAAAGTGGATCTCGTCAAAAAAATTCTATAGGTACCTATGGATATAAAAGTATACCAATAGAATTTAATTTTTTGTTGAGAAAGACATATATTGACTTTATTTAGACTATAGACTGCAGTCTCATGAGACTGTGAGAATAAAAGACCTATTTTTGAAGTTTCTCAGTGATTTTAACTATTTATATTGTTTTTCCCTTATTTTTGAAGTTTTTCATTGATTTTAATGATTTACACTGCTTTTTCCCTACGATTTTTTTAAAATTATTATTTAATTGTGATCCACTTTACCCAGCATATGTTTAAAGTGAAATTTGTATGATTTTTAATGGATTATCCACTTTACCCCAAACTATGGGTAAAGTGGATCACTTTATAAATATAAAAAAATAGGTCATTGAAAGAGTTACATTGTTGCCAAATGGTCAATGCATAGCTGAGTAACCAAGAAATGTACATTCCAAGTTTCAGGCAAAAATTTCGAATAGTTTTGAAACTAATTTGAATAAAAGCATATTTTTGATCCATTTAGCCCCGGTTGAGGGTAGTTTAAAGCAAAAACCTCAAAAAAAGGTAAAAAAGGTGAGAACAAGTTAGGTTCATATAAAAGAAAATCTTTTAAAACACATTTTGGCATTATTGGTTTTCAAATAGTTACATCGGTTGAAAAAAGGTAAAATAACTAAAATCCCATCCCTAGTTATCACTAGTAATTTATGTAACATTATCCTAACCACTCAAACAAATTACAGTAATTTCTCCCAAAAAATGAATCCCCAAATGGCATTGGCAAAGGCATGTTATTGAGACATTTAACAGCCGGGAATTGTTTTCGAATTTTGATTCTTGGTGATTTTGGTTTTATCCAAAACTTAAATTTGACAACTGATTCACATCAGGAGGTCAAAATTATAAAGCAAACATGTCACGAAGGTAAATATCGGTTCAGGTTTAGTTTTCGCAAATTTTCCAAAATATCATATTGAAAAAGTGGTCTTTGCTTAGGTTCTTCTGAAATTAATGGAAGTTTGTTGCTTGTCACTTGTTCAGAATTATTCAAGGAACAATCTTTTACCATCTTATCTTTTTTATCTTAAAAAGGCTGAGTGTATTGCCTACAAAAAAGCATCAAATGTACCCTTTTGAAAAAAAAATCATATTTTCTTTGCATAAATTCCAAATCGAAAAATTTGAAAAACGTTTCAAGGTAAGACGTAATACTTCATTATTTCAAAGTAAAAACGAGAAAAAAATATTTTTTTACAAACGGGGCTTGGATGAAGTTATTGAAATTTTTCACCGTTTTATATATCACCCTGTAGGAAATTTACTTGAAGAACCGTGAGCTTTATATCTATAGCATGAATTTCCAAAGAATGGGGCTAGCAAACATCATATACCAAAATAAAATCGTTCAAGAAACAAAAAAGTTATGTCGTTTTGAAAAAGGACGAAATTTTTGGTCGCGACACATTGACTGGTGCGCAGTTTAGTATAACTTTAATAATTTGCTGATTTTTACATTTCCCACCGAGCTTAATTAGATAGAGTCGCAACCTGAACCTCTGAACATCTACATGTAAGTGATCATGAAGGCAAGGTGGATTATAATAGAGCTTTAAAAATAATGATTTGACGTCCCGATAAATGCGCCAGCGATGGAGTTGAAACAAAATTTGAATTTTGCTTTAAATAGTGCGAGATTGGCGCGTAACTAGGGGTAAGTGATCATTTCAGGCGAGGCGGATCATAATTGTGATTGAACTTCACTTAGGTAAGTTAGTTTATTCGTTTAATCAATGTTAATTTATTATTGGATAAAAATACAATTTACCTATATTAAAAAAGTAAATTGTCATACTGTATGTTTAAAAAAATTTAATAAAATAAATCGTAAGAATTTTGTTTTTTTAATTATTCTTTGTAAATTTTAATAATTATTGCCCTTTTGCTGATTTTATTTCCGTTTAATTATCTGATAATCTAATTAATTAATTAGCCATCGTCACCTTACACAGATAAACATTTTTTCAGGGTATATCATAGTACACTGCTACCACGAAGCACTTAACACAGAAATCATAGATCAATAAAAAACGCCATTAAATGGCGTCCAGAGACAACAAAATGAACTTGATTGTTTCTCTATGATGGCGTCTCAACCTTGTTGAGTCAAGACAAGGGCGTAATTACGCAATTTGTTTTTTCGCAGCTACACGAGAGCCCTTTTGCGATATTTTAAAAGTATTGGATATAACCAATTAGCTAAATCTTACAATGTAAATCCCCGATTAAATTCAATTGGAAATTACCTATGGGTAGCTTTATCCAATCGAAACCACTAAGAACAGTAGAATCCTAATTGGACTTTTCTATCATGGAAAATACCAGTTAAAACAATTTTTATTGTATATCGCGCCCAATTATATCCAATTCAGACCTATTGATACCAACCAATACTTGTTGGTATCAAGTTGGTTTCTGTAAGAGATTAATCGGTCATTTACAACAGGGAGTCTACGTTTTGACCGTTATTGTCTTTGTCTGTGTCCAAGTCGGATTGTTCCAGAACTTGGTATAGTAATTGAGTTGTGTTCCTTATTTTAGTCTTATTGGTGCTTAGTTGCTCCCAACTGTTCTTGTTAATTTGTGAGAAGTGAATATTCAGTGCTAACGTGTCGTGAAACGTAAAGCATGGTCACCCGACTTTTTTGTCTAAAAGGTCTAGTTTTAGGGTGGCTAGTATGTTGTTCCGGTGCATATAGGAGTGACGTGGGCCCAGTAATTTAGTTGGTCCACCCTTACACGTTTGGTAATGGTTTTGTCCAGGAGCAAGTCGTTTGAGTACGCATAGTCCTGTCCTTTTTTATCAGTTATGTGTTCGTAACGATTGATTAATTCGTTTATTGCGTCTTCAACGTAGGGTCTGTACGTTTCTAAGTTAGTGCGTAAGTGTTTGTTCCGTTTTTGTCTTGTCACGGCTGTTGTTTCTATTCGCATTGTGATCATATCTTTGTGTTGAATAGTTGGTGTGCAATTGATGCGATTAGGCAGTTACCGGTGGTAGGTATTTTTTTTGACTTCTACTGTATATTTTAATGTGATTACAAAATTCATTATAATTCGGTTGGTGTTTTTTCTGTGTTTATGTTTTCTTAATTTATTGTTAGTTCGTGGTGTCAAATGTTTATTTTCGGTCTCTTTTAGTTTAAACACCTTATTTTGTTTAGTGTTTAAGCGAAAAGTGACTGTCGTAGTTAGTGTTGCAAATTATGTGTTGTATCATGCAGATGGTTATGGTTACTTATTGGATTTTGCAAATGGCCTTTCCTCCCTTGGTTATTCTCTATTGTTTGTCCCGTGAAGAGCGTCCAATTGACAGGTGCACCATGGTTAGACCATGGTTAGACCGCCCGGTAAGCTGTCACTTATCACTTAACATTTCCTTAACCGTAGGGTGTATTTACTTACTATAGTTGTTACACTATAGTTTAGTTGCACTTTATTCGTAATTATTTGTGAGTTTTGGCTTGTATGTTTTAAAAGGTCCCGATACAACACGATACGTCGTTCTACGTCAAGTATTCGAACATGGATTAATTTGGAAAAGTATAAAAAATAAATAAAATTAGACAACGTTGAAACCATTAAATTCAATTAAACATAAAGTAAAATTATTCTCATATGCGTTAAGTTACTTCCCTACTAGGCTTTATATTTTAATTTTTTGTTGTTTCCCGTGCATCACTTGAAGTTGCCGAAGAACATACCATCGCCTGTTTTACAGAGTTTTGGAACACCCTGTATATTGCACAAATCTCACAATGTTTAACCCTAAATAGGATTTTATATTCATCCTAAATATATATTTTCCAATAGCTGTAAGAAATGCCCTCTTCGAAAATAATAGAACACATAAAAACTATAGTTTACTTATTTCTGTTCAAAATTTTATTTTGTTTAATTAACCATAGAATGTCTTTGTAAACATAAAAACATGTACATTAGTGAACCAAGATAAAATCTGTAATATTAAATATTAAATATAAATATAAAGTCTTGTTCAAAGAATATAAAATTTTAAAAAAATTTATTAATTTTTTATATTAATTAATTAATATGCTTAATAAAAATTGAATTGTCTTGTATAAAACTTTTTATACAGAAAACAATTAATACAAGTTAAAAAGTACGCTTAGACAAATAAAAACTATTACAACCAAACTATTTGGTAAAATAATTGTAGAATCATCTGTCAGTCCATTTTCTAAATTAAGTAATGCTATTAAATCGTTGTTTACCAGAGTAGCAACATCTTTGGCCCAGAGAAAATCTAAATGCGTAAAATTATTTTGTAATAGAGTGCTTCGAACCAAATTTGGTAATTCTTTTGCCAGTCTTTCAACATCCTAAAAATAAAGGTATAATAAAAACGATACTTTATAATAAACGAGGACATTTAGCTGAAATTTAAAACTAGAAACCCGTTAAATAGGAATTCGACCTATGAATGAAAAAATGGAAAATTCGTTTTTTGCGCTATTAATTAACCTTAGGGTTGTGATAATTTTGTGGTTAAAAAAACAAATTTTGAGAAGAGCCTTAAACGTATTCGACTATTCGTATTCATTTAGGAATATTATATTATGTATCAGGTTTTATAATCGCCATTTTATTTTAGAGTTTTATTAGGCACGAGCGAAGCGACCACAAAAAAGATTTTAAAGCCAATGTAGGAGAAGATAATAGTATATTAATTATGTATCAAGTTTGATAAACGCCATTTTAATAGTTATTTATGTATTAAGGGCATAATAAGGTTTTTATGGTCCGAGGCGCTATTTCGAGCCCGAGCGCGTTAGCGCGAGGGCTAGAAAAGCGTCGTAGGACCATAAAAACTAGTTATGCCAGCAATGCATACAAAACTTTATGCACGATTAATCTATTATTATTTTTAATATATTATTGTTTTTAAAGACGTTTACGCCAAAGAATTTTTGTTATAATTGTCATATTATAATGTCAACTGACATCAGTCAGTTTTAAAGTTTAAAGATGAATGAAATTGAGGAAGCAGCTGAAAAGGCGAAAAATTGCGGCCTGCTGCCGGAAAAATCAAAATCTTTATACGAAAAAACTTACTTCGAATATATCAAATGGTGTAACATTGTTGTTTTTAATTTTTGACGTTTCATTATAGCCCGCTGGGTCATAATAACGCCCGCGGGCTATAAAAAGACGTTTACGTCAAAGAATTTTTGTTATAATTGTCATATTATAATGTCATCGTGCATAAACACGATTTATGCACGAGCGAGCTTGCCAGCCAGTGCTTAAATTAATGATTGTCTAGAAAAGTTTATAAACGAGTTGCATACTATACTTTTTCTACGACAAATACTTATTATTATCTTAAAATTATTTAAATCAAATATTTGTATAGACTAGCGCACTATAAAACATTAGGTACCGTCCAATGTCAAATTTTTATGTGTTATAAAGGTTATAAATTAAAATGTATTCCTTGAAAATCGATTAACAACAGTTTTTCACAGTGAAACTAAAGAAAATGTTTTATAAGCACTTCACGGTGGAGTCCGACCTCGAATTTAAGTTATATCCAGTTTACAATGTTTATATAAACTTTTTAAATATTGGCGTTGTATTGCGATAATAAAATAATTTTCACATTTAGTAATATTTTACAAGAAGGGCACTTTATTTTAACGATTGTATGCCATTTGACAACGGTCAACTAACTAACTTTAGCCCGTGACTAAAACGCCATAAAGCCACAGCTTGTCAATGTGTATTTGTATTTAAAAGGTTACTTAGTGTCATGGAAACATGTACGATAATGGGCGTTTTAAAAGTGGGAGTAGAAAATAGTATATTATATACTTATAACCAGATATATCAAGTTTTATAAACGCAATTTTAGTTTAGTTTAGTTTTATTAGGCACGAGCAAAGCTTGCGAGCGAGTGTTTAATAAAAAACGAGTTTATAGAGGAGTTTATAAAACGAGTTGCATACTATACTTTATTTACGACGAACAGAAATAAGAATTTAAAGCCAATTTTAATTCATAAATATTCGACATCGACGAATTTAACCTCACTTTTTCGCAATTTATAATAAATCCCGTGACCCAAAAGCCACTGTTGTTAACTTAAGCCCGTGACTAAAACGCCATAAAATTAAAACTCGTCAATGTAGGAGTATATAATAGTATATTATGTATCAAGTTTGATAAACGCCACTATACACAAGAAATTAATTTAGGCACGAGCGGGCTTTCGAGCGAGTGCTTAAATTAATAAGTGTATAGAAAAGTTTATAAACGAGGTGCCTACTATACTTTTTCTACGACAAATACCTATTATTATCTTAAATAATTTAAATGCACAAAACACAAAAAACACCTTCTAGTTTTGTGTTTAAATCAAATATTTGTATAAAGCGCCATCTATACAACAATGGGGGAATCTGCGTTACCGTCAAATGTCAAATTTTTAGGTGTTATAAACACAGATTATAAAGGTTATAAATCGAAATGTATTGTTCACAACATTTTTTTATAGTAAAAGTAAAAAAAAATGTTTTATGTGCACAGTGGAGTCCGAGCACGAATTTAAGTTACTGTCGGCAAAATTAAAAGGTCAGTGCAATGTTCATACAAACTTTTCAAATATTGGCGTTGAGAAACTTTTGTATTTTTGTATTAAAATAATTTTTACATTCCCTAATTTCTTCCCTTTTTTATTTAAATCGCTAAGTAAATAAACTGCTTAATCCACTTAGGTACATCATGTACCGTACATGTACCATGCCATTTAATTACATTAAATTTTTGTTGGGTTCAATGTTATTTTTTTATTACATTTTTTAGGTTAAGTTAATTTTATTGCTTATTTTATTACTTGGTACTGTTTGAATCCATTTTTTTTTGGTGATACTTAAAATCGTTAATTTTTTTTATATTTGGTGGAAATTTTATGAATTATTAATAATTCATAAAATTTTAAAACAAAAAATTAATAGTTTCTTTGACCAATGGTTTTAGAACGTTTTGGTTTAACAAGTGTTTTTGTTTTATTTCTAGTGTCGTAGTGATGTTTATTTAAATAAAAATTAAAAAAAAAATTAAATATTTAAAAAATTAACAAATTATGTTGGAAACTTAAAGTTCGGACGACTAACGTTTTTAATTTAACTTTTTGCTAGGCCTTACCGGCCCCATGGCGCCCCCAATGAATATAATATAAATTTAATTGGTGCAATTTATTATAATATTATTATTATTATTATTATTATTATTATAATAATTATTTACCATAGTTTATTAACAAATTTCAAATTTTATTAAAAAAATCCAAATCGTATAGATTTTATATCAATTTAAATTTATTATGGTATAAAATCTGTATAATTTAGATTTTTTAAATGAAATTTAAAATTTGTCGATAAATTATGGTAAATAATAAATTGCACAAATTTAATTTATATTATATTTATTAGGTAGTTATTTTTTTCGAAAACTTCAATTTAAATTCTGCTTGAGCAAAACTTGTTTATTTAATGTCATTATAAACTCATATAAATTTGGTGTGGGTCCCATATCTAATAATTGAGATATCGGTATACCCAAAATCCACCAGCGGCCACTGATATCAAGTGGCATTGTGCAAAATAAAGGATTTTAAGTTCCTTTATACTAAAATTTTTTCTTACTACCTCGACTGAAAATACGTTGTTTCGTCCCCGATTCCACGGCAGAAAGTTTACGTTTGATGCATTGGTCAAGCTATACGTATTTTCGGCCGAGGTAGTAAGAAAATGTAATTTTCTTACTACCTCGGCTGAAAATACGTTGTTTCGACCCCGATTCCACCTCCACCGCCCTCTATAATATCGCTCGTGCCGCAAATGTCGGGGCAGGCATCAATATGTTTCGATATACACATTTAATTTTTTCCCGTATTTTCGGCCGGGTAGCAAGAAAAATTACTATTACTAAAGTGTGAGAGCCCTGAACTGCGCGCCATCATGGCACGCAGTGCAGGAATCTCACACTTTCTGCCCTTGTAATGTAATATACTATTTTTAAAATGCTTAAATTTACCTAACATCGGTCGTAATCCATGACTTTGGCTAAATTTGGAATTTATTTTAAGTGTACGTTATATTATTCAAGGTAAATCCCGTTAATATATTTAATAAAATATATTTAGTTTATTATTGTTTAAGTAAGATCTTCCATGTTGCCAATAAGGTTGGACCAACCTGGTTGGTGACACTCTGTGCGCAACTCTGAGGCTGTCTATTTAAATAAATAAATTATAAATATAAAAATATATAATTAGTAAACTTTGCGTTAAAACTTTTACTTTCATAAATTTTGACCAAAGTTTAAAAGCACACGTTTTCCTGATACTTGGGATTTTAAAAAATGACATACCGTGTAAGATACCAAATTATCTGCTATGCCATAATACAAAGCTACGGGAGCTGTTATAAGGGCAGTATTATAGCTTGGAGGTATATCTTGATGGTATATTATTCTGTTTTTAATAATACCATGGTCGTATGGTCTAAAATAGCCTACAAAAATAACTTAATTGGATCTAAACTTAAATTAAGTATAAGGACATACCTGAATAAATTTCTTGACCATAGTGCATCAATTGTTTCCACGAAGCTCCTGCCGGATCGCTGGAGAAAACAACTGGCAAAATCGACTAAAAAAGAGTTTGTTAAATAAACTAAAAATTTTATATAGAAGTTACTATATAAATATGTTTTATGTAAATAAATAAATAAAGGTTGTTTAAAACATACAATATGGCATTTTTAAGTTTTTAAAAACAACTTGTTTTTAAAAACTTAAAAATGCCATATTGTATGTTTTCTACTCCCATCTTTATAACAAACAATATACCATGGTATCCCCAACATTTAATAGCCAATTCTAAAATTGTCCCCAGAATCTGAAAATACCGTCAAAAATGATAAATGTAGAGCAATGCAAAATGTAAAACACGAATTTGAAAATCGTTAAAGCCACTGTCTTGCCGTCAACGGCAAAAATTTTGAACACTTACTTTAAAATTTTTAATAAACTAAAAAACAGCTTTTATAAAAATTATTCTTTACTATTTTCGATATATCAAGTTACACTCATTATTTTACAATTTTGTGTTGAAAAAAAATATATTTCCAAGTTATTTTTTATTCTACATTTGTCATTGTAGCCAATCTAATAAAAAAAACCTAAGTTTGTTTGAGCACAGTACGAAAATTGACTGTATGTACAGAAAAAAAATAAACACCATAGTGTTTTAAAACAAATTTGACAAAAATTTTCTGCTTTAAAAATATGTATTGAAAATACACGGATGAAAATGAACAAAGTACGTGGGGGCCTATAACCGAGGGGTAAACCACTGATTTTTTAAAATTAAAAATCGCTTACGAATTAACGGCTAAGGATAACAATAACAAGGGTAGTCATGCGCAACGCGTCGCTAAGCACTGATTAAGCAAGTTTTCCTTATTGATAACGACTAATAAGGAAAAAAATCACAACACAATTGTGTTGTGATTTTTTTCCTTATTAGTCGTTATCAATAATGAAAACTTGCTTAATCAGTGTTAACATTGAACGTTGGTCTTTTTAAAGTGGTTTACCCCTCGCCTATAACCTCCTGTCCTCAAGTTCAAACGTCAAACTATTTTTGTTTTTAATTTTTTTTCTAAACCTAATTATTTTTATTAGGCAGAAATTTAGAATATATGCAGTTTATAAAACTGCATATATTCTAAATTGCTAACTTCAGCCCTTAACTAAAACGCACGAAGCCACAGCTTGTAAACCTGTATTTAAAAGACCACTTGACGTCATGGAAACATATACGATTACAGTAGAAACCACTAATATATGAACGTGACTCATCCGACACATTCGTACGAAGCAATCTATCGAAGGTCACGGTCCAGTGCAGTCCTGTTTGTAAAAAAAAATTGAGTGTAATGTTGGTTGCTATACTTATGATATATTTGCTTTTAAAGTTAAATAATTAACATCTAACATAATTAACATCTACGATAATTAAATAAAATGTAATTTTCTTAGAAACTAATTAATAAATAAACTTTTCTTTTAACTTTAATGAAATATTCTATCATCTGATGACAGAACGTACACTCGTGGCGACATCTCTGATTTTAATAACAAATTTTTAGACCGATGCAACCTCACTTTCTTCCAATTAAATTCTTAGTATAGTCTGAAACACGTTTGGAATTGCATATTCCACTCTCGTGAAACCGTCAAACTTGTTACAGAATATACTATTCTTTTAACTGTAAACGCAAATATTTTAGAATTGGTGACAAAAAACAAAAATGTTTACGCAGGTCAGGTACAAAGTGAAAGATATTTAAATTGTGTGGATATAAAAACAACTTAAGTTGCGTTAGTTTCACGAAATTTATTAAATATTGACAATTGTTTCGCTACACAGTAGCTTCTTCAGAATGTATTAAACTAATACTAGTACAAAATTTATATAATAAAAATATTTTTGTATTCTAGCCTAGAATTTCTAGGAAAGGATTTTTATACGACATCTACCTGTGTTACATAATATAAACCACTGCCACTACAACGTTTAAAACGATTATTAATCCGTAAACACACAGTAGAAACACGATATGCAAAAACAAAGATCATATGACATATAAAAACAAATGGCCGACGGTAAAGTTGGTTGCCTTACTATGTAATAAAATAAAATAAATGCCTAAACACGAACTCTACTGAATATAAGTAACAAGCTAGGACACGCGTCATATGTCCATCTTTGTCCAACACCTAGGCAGTTTTACATCACAGATGGCGCATTTTAGACCGGATGCTTAAAAACCTAGGTGTGAGTACATTTACCGCTGCATCGAATGTACAAGACAAGTAAAACATTACTGCTAGCATGTCTGAGATATGTTCGGCACCCGATGAGTCACGTTCATATATTAGTGGTTTCTACTGTATGTGTGTTTTAAGTATGGGACTAGAAAAATGTACTTTTTAACCCTAATTTGTAATGGTTAAAACGAGTGTACACATAAAAATAAAAAAAATAGGAGTTTCATAAAGAATACTTACCAAGTCAAATTGTTCTTCATCTCTTCCACCCATAAAGAAATATAATTCCTTACAAATTACATTATACTTAGAGTTTTCCACACAGACAGTCTTGCCAAATTGCGTAAAAGAGTCTGTATGCGGCATTACATCTTTCCATTTTAAAATTTCCAAAATTAACTAAAAATTCATGTTATTTATAATTGTATAGGTATAACTATTATATTGGGAGTTTTTCATATAATTTTGTTAATTGTATATCGTATAATTTTGTTAATTGGATCCATTAGTATATATAGATGCCGTGAACTTGGGTGACTTTGGTCCACTTTTAAATTTTAATTATTTACTCATCCTATTAATTATGTTTAAATTCACTATTCTTAGTGTATAAAAACAAAATTAAAACATGACAATATTAAAATTGTAATTGCTAATCTATGCAGTATAAACAAATACCGACAAAAGGTCAAAGTCGCCCAAGCTTACGGTATTGGCATTACCGAAATTACATTTTAGAATAACCCCTTATGTTTTAAAAAAATAGGGTTAACATAATATCCTATCTACATCCGGAAATTAAATATAAATGGAACAGACTCTTTGTAAAAGGGTTACATTGAAAATGCTCTCTAAAAATAAATTAGTCAAAAATTACTAATTGTCATAGAGAAAAAGCAGCCACTAATAATTCTCGACAACAGAAAATTATGATCCGGACTTTTAGGAGTCAAGTCCTATGTAAAATATGGTAAAATAAAGATATAGTTAATTTTCTATACAATATGAAATTGTCTATATTCCAAAAACTGTTCTACTTTCATATTTTTTTACGGTTTTTTCGGATTCAGGGAACAATTTTACATAAGAATTGGGTGTTAAATGTCCGAGAAACAAATTGCTGTAGACTACAGTTATTAGTAGCTGCTTCTTAATTTAGATAACTATTCATTTTTGACTACTTCATTTTTAGAGATTTGATGCCTCCATTTTTTCTAATATATTTTGGACTGTTAAACTCAAACATCACAATACTTTTTTTATGGCAAGATTTTCAAGATCTGAATTTGTATTTTTTTTCATTTGTTTTTTGAGTGCAGCTTTACAATTTGGGTCATATATGGAGTTCGAAACAGCCAATATTTGCATAAGGTGTTAAAATAAACATAATCTAATGACTCTGTTAATGAGCTCCAATATTGAAAACAGTTTTTGTAGCCAAAAATATGAATGCAACATTCATCTTTTGGCCAAGAACGAATAAAAATCATTAAAATATTACCATTTTTGAATTTTCTACGAAGAGTCCACACTTTTGCAAAGAAAACAAGGTTTTTACGAAATAAATCTAAGGATAAATGACAAAGTTATATCAAGTAGCAAAATTAAACTTTTTGTTTATTTTTGTACTTTTACGGTATTCATAGGGTATATACCACAGACCACCAAAACAAATAACATAATCTAATGACTCTGTTAATGAGCTCCAATATTGAAAACAGTTTTGTTTTGGTGGTCTGTGGTATATACCTACTTTAGTTTTATGTAATTAATTTATAATCTAATTGTTTTTTATTTATTGTAGGTATTGCATCAGATAACACAGTAGGTGAAAAATTAAGATGTTCTTGTCTTTTGTTTAATCTATTAACACTTATGAACCATATCTTTTTTTTGTCGAAGAATTGGCTAAATAATTGTGCCAAAATTGGTATTTGTTTAATGCGTAAATATGTCCTTGAAGCTGCGCTATCAGAGATTTTTAGAAAAACGAATTGTGAGAAATTATATTTCCTTATGAGAAAATCAGATATATATATATATATATATATAGGTACCGAAAAAAAAACAGAAGACGATCAAAAAGATAAAACTATTTCTAATTAACTATAATCATAAAAATACCACAAAAAAAGTAAACAAAATTTATTTTATAAGCTATGAATAGGGCACAATTGTTAAAAATGGTATGTAAGGTAATTACCTTAATTACACTTAAGTGTTAATGCACAGCAAACGGAAAATTATAGAAGTGTATAGGATGACGCCACGTTTGAATATAGTTTTCTAAATCTCCCCACGGTATAGATTTGTATTCGTCAGTCGAGCGTTTCAATACTCTCCACAGTATAGAGGTCGTAATTTCACTTTTGAACTAGTATTAATATAAAAATTATTTTATGCTTAAAAAAACTATATACGACATGATTGTGATTTTTTTCATTTTATTAATTAATTAAGCTGTGTTGAATTGTGTGTTGCCAATGGGCCATTAATTCATTTGTTCGTAGATGCTACTGGTGTGTACTTTTTCATCAACCAGATTTATATATTGCTGTACTAACATATACCAGTAGAGATAGTGCAGGGTCTACCAACAGACCTCATTACTAAATTATTAAAGTTTAATAGCATATCGATCATTTTTTCAACATAACCTCTGAAATTTTTAATACAAATATAGGTACTTTATATAATACATAAATATTCTTAACATCATATTCTCTGTGCTTTACATACCTGAGTTGTTACGGTAAATAAAAATCAGACAAAGGAACCAAAGAAAGGAACTATTTTCAACAAAATCATATGCAGAAATGAGAAAATTCAAACTACTTGCATCCATCAAAAGATCAAAACTTCTTGCAATATTACACCCTCTTTTTATACTCTCAGAAATATTGACTAGAATAGTATTAGAGAGACTCCAGTTTCTATAACCGTCGAAACCGTTGCAATATTGAATTGCGCTGTTTTTGTATAATTCTCGGGGACATTAACGAAAATCATTGCCAGTAAAATTCGAAAAGCTTGAGTTTCTATGTCTCTGAAGAGAATAGGAATCCGAAGTTGCTGCACCATTGGACTGAACCCTTTTTTAATAATTTCTCTGTTGAATATAGAAAATCAAAATAATTTATCTTGTAAAACACCATTGAGTTTGACTTTAAATATAGTCGTGCATAGGTAGAGCCGAAAAATATAAAAACAAAGCACGATTCAATACAGTTCTGATAAAACTTTAAGATTTAATATTCAAACGCGGAGTCATCCTATACAGTTCTATATTATAGAAGTGTATAGGATGACGCCACGTTTGAATATAGTTTTCTAAATCTCCTCACGGTATAGATTTGTATTCGTCAGTCGAGCGTTTCAATACTCTCCACAGTATAGAGGTCGTAATTTCACTTTTGAACTAGTATTAAAATGAAAACTATTTCATGCTTCAAAAAAAACTATATACGACATGGTTTTTTTCATTTTATTAATTAATTAAACTGTGTTGAAAATTTTTCCTAAGGGAATAATTGCCAATGGGCCATTAATTCATTTGTTCGTATATGCTACAATAACCTGCACCGGTGTATACTTTTTGATCAACCAGATTTAAATATTGCTGAACTAACATAAAATTTCCAGTGGAGATGTGCAGGATCTACCAACAGACCTCATTACTAAATTATTAAAGTTTAATAGCATATCGATCATTTTTTCAACATAACCTAAATTTTTAATACAAATATAGGTACTTTATATAATACATAAATATACTTTACATCATATCCTCTGTGCTTTACATACCTGAGTTGTAACGGTAAATAAAAATCAGACAAAGGAACCAAAGAAAGGAATTATTTTCAACAAAATCATATGCAGAAATGAGAATAATCAAACTGCTTGCATCCATCAAAAGATCAAAACTTCTTGCAATATTACACCCTCTTTTTATACTCTCAGAAATATTGACTAGAATAGTACCTATTAGAGAGACTCCAGTTTCTATAACTTGGTAGGGTAAAGAGAAGTCGAAACCGTTGCGATATTGCATTGCGCTGTTTTTGTATAATTCTCGGGGAAATTAACGAAAATCATTGCCAGTAAAATTCGAAAAGCTTGAGTTTCTATGTCTCTGAAGAGAATAGGAATCCGAAGTTGCTGCACCATTGGACTGAACCCTTTTTTAATAATTTCTAGAGACATAAACGACTGCATCATTCGACAGGGTCAAGTTTCTACCTCTCTGTTGAATATAGAAAATCAAAATAATGTATCTTGTAAGACACCATTGAGTTTGACTTTAAATATAGTTGTGCATAGGTATAGAGCCGAAAAATATAAAAACAAAGCACGATTCAATACAGTTCTGATAAAACTTTAAGATTTAGTATTTAAACGCGGAGTCATCCTATACAGTTTTATATTTTTCCGTTTGCTGTGTGGGTTACATTATAATTTTTCACCTACTGAGTTCTTGTACAACACAATAACAGATACAGTATTAGATAGGCAACCTAAGAAAATAGCCTATAGGCAGCTGCGTGAGAAATGAAAATTATATCGTGATTTTTTATGCCATCACTGTTTGTTATTGACCGATGGCACAAAAAATCATGTCGTCATTTTTTATGCCAACGGTGTTTGGATAATCATTTTTGCGCCACGTTCGAACACTAAGAGATAAATTATGTTGAAACAACAGTTTTTGCGGTTAAATACATTTAATATTTTCTTGGATTTAAATGAACTATATAAAGTTAATTTTAATCCAAGAAATTATTGAATGTTAAACTGTTGATTTAATTGTTAACATACTTTTTCTTTCAATGTACGAATGCGTCGCAAAAATGAATATCCAAACACCGATGGCATAAAAAATCATGTCGTGATTTTTATGCCATCGGTGTTTGGATATTTATTTTTGCGCCACATTCGTACAATGAGAGAAAAAGTATACCTACATATATATTGAATCAACAGTTTTTGTGGTTAAATACATTCAATATTTTTTTGGATTTAAATTAATAGTTTTCTTTCAATGTACGAATGTGGCGCAAAAATAAATATCCAAACATGTCGGTGCACCGATGGCATAAAATATCATGTCGTGATTTTTTATGCCCAAACACCGATAGCTAGCATAAAAAATCATGTCGTGATTTTTTATGCAATCGGTGTTTGGAAATTTATTTTTGCGCCACATTTGTACATTGAGAAAAAAAGTATACCTACATATATACTTATTGAATCAACACATTTTGTGGTTAAATACATTCAATCAGTAGGAATAAAATTTATGAAAATCACGACATGATGTTCGTATGGGATAGTAACAACGTTTTATAAATTACAACGGTGTAATGTGAATAACAAACTAGGTTTTAAATTCGCAGTTCTCA